GCGGGAGGGGCGGGGCCGGGAGGGCGGGCCTGAGCCCCAGGACCAACCGGAGCGCGCACAGAATGGCCGCACCCCAGGCCCCGCCCCTCGGCCCTGGCCAGACACCTGCCAGGCGCTGCCACCTGCCGCCTGCCTGCCGAGCCCGCGGCCTGGCCCGCCTGCGGGGCTTTGTAGGGCCCCGCGTACCCAGAGTGGGGGGCCTGGTGTCCTTATCTGCCGAAAACATCCACCGGCCTCTGAGCAGCGTCCCCCGCCCAGAACTTGAGCCAATCTGGCCCGGTCTGGGGCTCAGGGCCCACCGACCCTCCCGCGGACCGGCCCCGGATCGTGACCCTCTGCCCCACAGCTTACCGGGCCACGCCTGGGGGCCCGAATCGCGTTCCTTCAGCTGGGTTCGCGACGTCTGACGCCCGACCTCTTCGCCCAGGATAATTCCCCAGGAGGCGGGCACTCCCTCTGATGTCATCCCCCGCCCCTTCCGCATTTTTCTGCAATTGCTGGCTGGACTAGGTGGCTGGAATCCGGATCAACCTCCTGCGCAGCGCTCCATCCCAGGGTTTCGGAGGGAGGTGCGGTCCCCTTCCCGGGACCTCAGCTCTGGTACAGTGGGATCGTCCTGTCCTGAGCCACTCTTCCTGTAGTCCCCTACTCAAGGGACCGAGTGCTGAAAACAGCCCTGACTGAGCTCAGCCGGCCCCAGCCCACTGCGGGCATCGAACTGGGAGTGAAAGCAGCCGGCCAAGACCCTGGAGAGGGGTAACAACCGAGCTGAGGGACACGTGAGCAGTGTTAGCTGGGCCTACGCAGGAGTGAAGGCTGGAGTGTGGAACTGTGGGGAGAGGGCAGAGCAGAAGGGTGGGATCCACTGGATCTGAAAGACATTTCTTCCACAGATAGGGTGGCAGAGGGGTGTGTGTGTGTGTGTGTGTGTGTGTGTGTGTGTGTGTGTCGTTCAGCCTGATCCTCAGGAGCCAGCTACAAGTGTGTGGCACAGTAGGGAGAGGCCCCCAAGGCTCACTGGAGTGACAACCAAGGAGGAAACCACTTTTTGAATTCACCACAATGGGCTCCAAGGGCAGGACTGGAGGGGTGGCATTGCCCCAGGGCAGGGACCTCTGTCCCCATTTCCACAGAGGGCTAGGCTGTTCTCGGCACATCTCCCCAGGCCCTTGGGAGGCCCTAGAGCCAGAACAGGACAGAGCCTTCCTGGAAACCCCACCACACATGCCAAGCTGAACCCCTGGGAACACCCTGGTGAGTCCCTAGGCAGTGCACCTCCCCCACACACACAAGGCAGTACAGCCCTGCCTTCTGGGCCTAGTTGGAACTCAGGTGTACCTGGGAACTGAGGGCCCCCCAAGCTGTGTCCCCAGTTCCTCTAGCACACTGCACCTGGTGCTAAAGCCCTACCAGCACCTTAATTTGTCCTTCACCCAGCAATGCCCCAAGCCTTCTGGGTTTCACTCTCACCCTGTTCCCTGGCTCTAAAGACAACCAGAACGTATTAAGTACAGTGGGTCTATCTCTTTGGGAGTACTACACAGCACTCACAAAAGCCTTGGATCTTATACCCAGCACCACAGGAAAAGGTAACAGTTGTGATCGCTTTCTTCCTCAGGACCTTCTGCCTATACCCCTTGCACACTACTCCAGTTCTACAGCTCTCTCCACCTCGGGTACAGAATCCACCTCTAATACAGGCCCTGTCCACCGCAATGCCCTCAGACGACCTGGGGTAGCACAGCCAGTCTGTACAAGAGACTAGGGAAGGCTGCAAGAAACAGGCCTCCGTGCCAGGTCAGAACCTGAGGGGAGAGACCACTCTTTATAGTTTGTGTCTAGATGTCCCCACAAAACCTCATGAGGTCATATGGCTAATTTTAGAGATGGCTAACTCAACTGATTCAATTCATGGTACAATGCTGGAATTAAGGGGAGAGGTGACTGCTGGATCAGTGTATTAGACTGCTGGCATTACCCTAATCCTGGTAGACTGGACAGTGAAAGGGACAGAAAAGGGGCTTGGGGCCAGGGATACAGCTCAGCAGCACAAGCACAAGACCCCGAGTTCAAAACCCAGTACAAAAACAAAGGGCCGGGGAGATGGTTCAGTAGAGTAAGTACTTCCCTGGCAAGCACAAGGGCCTGAGTTCAATGCCTGGTTCCATTAAAAAAAAAAAAAAATTAGAAACCAGTACAAAAACAAAAAGGCTCGGGCCAGGGAGGTGGCTCAGTGGGTAAGCGCTTCCTTGGCAAACACAAGGGCCCGAGTTCAATCCCCGGTTCTGCCAAAAAAAAAAAAAAAAAAAAAAAGCTTGTCTTGTTGCTTTTGCCACCATGAACTATTACCCCTCTGCCATGTGCCATCCTGCTTTAGAACCAGCCTTCACTAAAGCCTTTATAAACTATACCTCTTTTTTTTGCAGAACCAGGGATTGAACTCAGGACCCTGCACTTGCAAGGCAGGTGTTTATTCTACTGAGCTATATTCCCAGCCCCTCTTTTCCTTTTAATTTTGGATACTGGGTACTTTAGTAACTAAGACAATCCTAGAGAGAGCCAGTAACAGTCTACCCACACAGGCCACCTCCACAACTACTGGAGAAACGAGGGACAGTTGACCCTCAAAGCATGATTGCTCAATTGGTACCTTTATCTGTGAAACCTGGGGCAGCTAACTCCATCCCTAGGCATGAAGCATCTGAGCAGTCCTGAACACAACCCAAAACAATGGTTAACCTCTCCTACTCACATTTCTAAGCAAAGCTGGCCTGGTATTCCCCAAGAGCTCTAAAACTTTACTCTTGGGACCAGGGAGATGGCTGTGGATTAAGCACTTCCCTGGCAAGTGCAAGGGCCTGAGTTCAATCCCTGGTTCTGCACAAAAAAAAAAAAAAAAACACTTTACTCTGGACCTAGTAAACCTGCTTAAGGCCCACAGGAAATGGCCCAGGCAGGTCCAGCAGCCTCACCCAGCCCCAGCTGCATGGCAGGACTGCAGGTGTCCTGTAGGTGACAAAAAGTGCTCACAAGCTGCTTAAGACACATAAAAAGGCTTTATTTGCAGAGCAGAAGGAATTTAATCAAACAGGCCAAATCCCATGTCATCATCAGACTCCTCCGACTCTTCCTTCTTCTCTTCTTTCTTCTCCTCTGCTGCAGAGAGAAGGGCAGCTTGGTGAGTGCTGCCCACAGTGCAGCCAAACCTGGCCCCTGCCCACCCATATGCCCTCACTTGCCTGCAGCTGGGGCAGATCCAGCAGCAGGAGCTGCAGAACCAGGAGCAGCAGAGACAGCCACAGCGCCCCCAGCCGGCACACTGGCAAGCTTGCCAATCCCTGCAAGGGAGAAGAGAGGGGGGACTGGGTTTAAAGGCCGGCCTTGGCCAAGTGTACAGAACCAGGGAATCTTTCAACAGGCACAGCAGTGTGCTGGACAAATCAGATCCCCAGCACAGCGCACTGTTACAGAATCCTGATCCCGTCCTTCCAGGACATGAAGCCGTTCCCCTCCATACAGAGGTAGGAAAACACCCCCACCCAAATCCACTGAAGCAGATTTCTACCCAGGAACAAAGCCACAGCCAAACCACTCAGATCTAAGATGGACAAACATGTTTACAACTTGACAGTCTGCTGCTATAGCAATCAGCTCACTGTCCATGGCAGTGAGTTCATGGTCCACAGTTCCATGAACAGGCCTTTCCCGTCATGTGCATAAGGACAGAAGTACTGCAGTAAGAAGGAATTTTTTTAGTGTGTGTGTGTGTGTGTGTGTGTGTGTGTGTGTGTGTTTTGCTCCTTGAATGCCTTCAGGGCACTTTTGCATGGCTGGAGTGTTGTGGGGATCAAACTACAGCAAACTGAGGCTGCCAGCATTGTGGAAGCAGCCACTTAAAGAACTGAGCTAGGGCTGGGCCCCCATACTGCAGTAAGAGATCAGTGCCCAAACAAGTCCCTCCAGCTCCAGTCTGGTGCCACCAAAAAACTATCTGCCCCAGAAAAGGGGTCCAGGAGCCTCTGGTCACCCCTGCCACCCCATCCCTGCTCCCAACCCATTTACAGAAAGCTCTCAACAAATTACTTACAAAGGGGCAGGGGAGATGGCTCAGTGGAATAAGCGCTTCCCTGGCAAGCACATGGGCCTGAGTTCAATCCCCCGTTCCGCCAAAAAACCCACAACTACTTATAAACCCCCCCAAAGTTCCAAAAAGATCAGCCAAGACCAGAGCTGGCAGATGGAACAAGGGTTCAGGACAGCCCTAAACACCCATTCCTGAGTGTCCAGAAGCACCTCTAGCACGAGCCCACAGGGGCCTCGCTCATTCCTTCAGGTCAAGCTCCTCGAGTGCTATAGTCCACAAGCGAAACCTGGCAGGCCATGGCCTGACCAGCAGGTATTAGAATGGACCATAAAAATAAAAACCTTTCCATGTGAACTCACCCTGGGCGATTACATCTTCAATGTTTTTCCCATTTAGCTCACCGATGACCTGAAGTAGACAACCATAGCAGTCAATTTCCAGAAGGCAGTAGTTCACCTGTTGGGTCCAACCTGGTAACCATCAGTCACATAGGGATTCTCTGACTAGAGTTATTGGGAGTTCAAAGTAGTTGCTAAGATTCCAACTTGGCAGTGAGAAAAGATTTCATAGCCTCTAATGACTCAGCTCATGATACATACATACACATATTGAATATAATGGACAAGATAAAGTACCTATGAGATTAATTACCTTGTGCTAAAAGTTTTTCTTTCTTTTTTTTTTTTTTTTGGAGCCAGCATCTGACTATGCAGTTAAAGCTGGTCTTTAACTTGCTGTGATACTCCTGCCCGTCTCAGCCTGCCCGTGCTGAGATTACAGGCGCACACCAGCATGCCTGTTTTTTTTTTTTTTTTAATTTTATTTATTTATTTGTGTGTGTGTGTGTGTGTGTGTGTGTGTGTGTGGCCAGCTCAGCCCACCAGGGGGCGGGCTGGCTGGCATGTGGTGCTGGGGATTGAACCGCAGTCGTGGACCCTGTGCTTTGCTAAGCTTGTTCTAAGTAGGTGCTTTAGACCACTGAGCCATCTCACCAGCCCCCATGCCTGGCTTCTTGTGCTAAAACTTGCTAGACACACGAGGCACTAGTTTAGGTCCCCACCACTAAGAAAGTAGATGTGAGCTAAAATGCCTTAAGTTTCTTTTGCTTTGTTTTGCAATAACCAGGATTGATCCAGGGTTTTCGCAGAGCTACACCCCGGCCCTTTCATCATTTCACTCTGAGCCAGGCTCTCACTAAGCTGCCCGGGCTGAGCTCCAACTGTGGCCCTCCTGCCTCGGCCTTCCAGGGTGCTAGGATGAGCGGCGTGTGCCACCTTGCCGTCTTGGTCTGCGGAATACTAGGTTACTCACAAATGGGTGTCAGACCACAGTGGTTACCCCGACTGGCTCAAGCCTCCCTCGGACTCCAGGAAGGCAAATTAAGAGCGACACGCGCAGGGCCCACTGGCGCGTCACCACAGCGGTTTGGGGACCCAGGCCGCAACTACCTTATTGAGCCGGTCATCTTCTGTCTCGATGCCCACGCTGTCCAGGATCTTCTTGATGTCCTTAGCGCTGGGGGAGGCATTGCCCCCGAGGACGGCCAGCAAGTAAGAGGCCACGTAGCGCATGCTGAGGGAGGCCGAGAGCGCGCGCGCGGCGGCGGCGTGGTCACGGTGGCGTCCTCCCCAACACTAGACCACCCAGGCGAGGCCACGTGGGGCTCGGTCCCGAGGCCCCCACCCCAGGAGGCCCCTCGGGGCTCCTGCTCACCCTGCGCGCCGCGCCCAGGCCTACCGGGCCTACTCACTCGGCGGTGGCAGCAGACAAGCCTCACGCGTGCGACCTCGGCGGCGTCGGGCAGCGAAAGGAACGGCCGGCGCAAAGGGGCGGGGGTAAGCTGTTACCCAGAAGCCTCCGCGCGAGTGCGGCGCTACGCGAGGGCGCCCACAAGTGACGTCATGGAGCGAGCGGCCATTGACGACGAGAGGAAGGTTTTTTGCCTTTTTGAGACAAGGTTGTACTGTGCAGTCGAGACTATCCTCTAACAGCAGTCCTGCCTCAGCCTCCCAAGTGCTGGGATTACAGGTGTAGCCACCACACCCGAGTAGGTCAGAAGCTATTGACTGGTACCCAGTCGAGAATTGCTCGGCAAAAATGAAAAGCCGCTCAGAACGGATGCGGCTTGCCGCGTCTGGAGCGAGTATCCGAAACCTATGGAAAGGCGGGTTTGTCGACCTGAAGGGGACTGCAGAGCCTTCAGTGACTAGCTGTCAGGTGTGCCACGAGGGCCTACAACTCCCAGCAGACCAGGAGGCGGCCTCGCTGGAGACGCCTCCGTGCTGCCGAACTACAACTCCCATAGTGCACCGCTGCTGGAAGTGTGCGGCCGCAGGCTTCGCGAGCGCCGCGCGAGGTTGGCGGGAGCGGGTTTCCGGGCTCCGGGGGCCGAGAAGTGGCGCAGAAGGATAAGCGTTTCCCCGGCTCTGGGTCTCTGGCTGAGGCGGCTTAGGGGCCAGCCTCTGGCGAGGGCTGCTGGCGCTATGTCTGCTGGGGCTCAGAGAGGCACGCGGCCCTCTGCGCCTGCGCTGTAGGCCACGGCTGCTCAGCCGGGAAAGATGGTGGCCCTGGAGGCCGGGCGCGGCGCAGCGTCGTCCGCGGCCTGGGAGCGGCTTTTCCCTGCGCCCTGAAACGGCGAGACCCGAGGGACCGGCCTCTGCGCCCAGCCGGTCCGAGCCGGCTCCAGCGTTTACGCGATGCCCTTCTCACGTACAGTTTGTAAACTCCTCGTGTCGGGGACTCCCCCGCACCCCGTGTCCTGCCCAGGCTTTTGCAGAATTTGTGCTTTTGGGCAACATGAGGAGTAAGTCTGTTCTCAGCCTGCCAGATGTCGGCTACTGCTGAGTTCACAGTCCCCAAAATGGAGAGCAACGAAGGTTAAGAGTAGAAAATATTTGGGGGGGGGGATGAGCTTCTGAGAGACAGCAGGGACCCGGAAAATGGGTTGCCGCAAACCCTATTTTACAGTGTAAGTTTTATGACAAAGTATGAATAGTAAGATTTTAAGTTTAGCTGCTTAGGGGATGTGGCTCCAATGGGGAATCGGTCCCATAGCCAGTGTACCTAGGAAGAACAAGAACCTTTCCAGGGAGGAATCAGAATCCGCACACCCACCGGCGCACCTGGTGGGAATTTGCTGTGCAGCTCTTTCTTGGGGAGGCATGTAAGGCCGCGGCCTGGCCTCAGGCGGCTGCATCTCCAGCCACAGTTGTAATGGAGAGGATTGAGTGTCTTGAGGGACTAGCCTGTCTGTCTGCTTTTAATACTTCTTCCTGATTTAGCTGTCTATAATAGTTTCCCCTCTGAAGACGTATGCCTGCCATGAGGGGGCAAGGAGTGATCACCATTTTGGCTGAAGGCAGTCAGAGATACTGTTTTGTTTTGTTGTTGTTTTTTTTTTTTTTGCGGAACAGGGGATTGAACTCAGGCCCTTGCTACTGAGCCATCTCCCCAGTCCCTCAGAGATACTCTTAAAAGGTAAATGTTCTCAAGAGATGTCAGGCATTCTTGGGTAAGTATATAGCTTTAAGAATGGAGGAGACAAGGGCAAAGAAACAGAACGTATCAGTGGGACAAGTAAGATCAACCTGGTACTGTGTGGTGCACGCCGGTAATTTCAGTGCTTTCAGAGGCCGAGGTAGGATTGACACAGGTTTAAGGCCAGCTTGGGCTACATAACAAGGCCCTATATCAAAAACTAATAAGATCGGGCCGGGGAGGTGGCTTAGTAGAATAAGCACTTCCTCGGCAAGCGCAAGGGTCTGAGTTCAATACTCAGTTCCAAAAAAAAAAAAAAAAAAAAACCGCTATGTAAGATCAACAAGACTTATGAATATAACCAGCAAATGTTTCCACCAGGAAGATCCCGTAATAGCCTACCTGAAAGAGTAAGACAGTTCAAGGAATTATAGAATCTGACATGGCATTAGTTTGTCATTTAATATCTTGAGCAGCCATTTAGATATTAGCAGAAAGATCAGGAATGCATGCCCAACAGCTGTTAGAATGTCTAGTGCCATCTGATTTTATTTTATTTTATTTTGCGGAACTGGGGATTGAACTCAGATCCTCGCGTTTGTCAGTCAAGTGCTTACCCTACTGAACCATCTCCCCGGCCCCTCATCTGATTTTTTAAAAATTAATTTTATCGAGAAATATCAATGAGACAGTTTCAAACCCAATTAATAGAACAGTTTCAATAATTAATACATTGGATATTGTTGTCTTTGGCCATCTGATTTTGAAGGACAGACTTTAATTTTTCTTTAACAGTTACTAATTTTGTTTTTTTATTTAGAGAGAGACCAGTTAAAGTAGTATTTAAGGCCCGTTGAGTAGTTAGCTAAAGCCTCCATATGTGGCATGGTACCCTTTAATCCTAGGGAAGGGAGAAAGATAGAAGCAAATGATCATACCGCGAAACACACTTTTAGGCCATCAGTGTCATAGATGGCATATGTTTATACGTTGGATAATTTTTTTTTCTTTTTTTTTGGTGGGTGTGTGGTACTGGGAATTGAATTCAGGACCTTGCACTTGTCAGGCATGCACTTATGCCACTGAGCTATCTCCCAGCCCACTAGGTTGGCTGATATTTTTAAAATTAGATTTTATTGGTACATTTTAGATATACATAATGATCACATTCATCATAGAGAATTTGTACCTATACATGATAGAACTTTTTCCCCCATTTCCCTCCCCACCCTTTAATCCCTCCTCCCCTCCCCATGTACAAAGCTTTGTTTTGTATGTTTTCTGGTTGATATTTTTGACACTTTTGCATAAGGGAGTGGCCAGGAATAGAGATTGTTTCCATGGGCCAGTGAGAGCTCAGTGGACTAAAGTGCCTGCCTAGGCAAGCTTAGGCAAGAGCAGGGACCACGGTTCAGTCCCTGGTACCACATGCTGTGCGAACTGCACTTCCAATCTAATTTTAGGGTGGTTAAACTGGTAGATTTTATTATAAATCAGTCTTTTACCAGTAAAGTTATGGTATATATACACTGTTTGGGAGGCTGTCCATCTCAAGTATTTAGTAGAGTTAGCCCAGTGAGAATAAGAGAATAAAATTTCTTTGTTCTCAACATAAGGGGGCCTCTTTACTAAGTTGTTTTATAAACATAATCTCACAACTGAAAGCCATCTTGATGTCTGTGTGTGTTGGTACTCTCAGGACCCTTAGTCTTAATAGGGATCTTACTAGAGTCTGTAGAAAGGCTTTAATGGCATTCTTAGAAAAAAATTTTATTATGTCCAGAATCATTAAGGGTGTAGTTTGTAACATTTTTGTCTCATCAGTGTAGTTTTATAGTTTATTTTGATCAT